TGAGAATGGGTGGTTCAAAGCTAACGAGAAAAAATATTTTCCTAACCAGCCTATGACTTGGCAGGAAGCCCCTCCTGCATGAAGTCAGCAGTCAGGTTATTTTGCAGAGTAGAGTTTAGATCCTTTCCTTTTTCACCCCACCTCTAAATTACCTTCTTCCAGTCCTCTTGGGAGCAGGGAAAAGCCAGCATGACTTAAGAGCTGCTCTTTTAGTTATACAAATGGAAGCTTTGAAATATTTATTTTATTACGGATTCTATTCTTAGTCATAAATTGTTGTTCACCCGAGTTTCCTTCTGGGGTAAATGGAGGAGATGGCTTATTTTCGTTATGGTCTGTCTTCTGTTTCTACTCCTCTGTTCTCCACATTGTTTCATTTCCCATATTCTGGTTCCACACCCCACGTTCTCTCCCACAGTTCTATTGTCCCAGGAAGACCTCAACTCCATGCTGTCCTTGACATCTCAGTTTGCCTGGCCAACCTGGAATCTTCCCTTTTGTAATTTTTTTTTTTTAAGCAGCTTCCCACAGAACTGCACTATATCATTTACTATCATCTAATATGCTGACTGAATGAATGAAGTAAATGCAGTACTGTCAAGCACGGCTTGTTCATTTCGTCCTTCTGCAGACAGGCCCTCAGTGCCTATTAGGTGTCAGGTACAGAGATGACATTCCCTGAGCTCTTGCAATGAATTAACACCTGCCATTTATCTCTACATCAGTTCTGACTGACTTCAGCTATATCCCTTAAACACAAAACCAGCTCTAAACACAACACAGAACAAATATCTTTAAAAACACACACACACAAAGTGAAAAAAGCAGTGTGGACTTGGGGAGGGAAAGGGGATAGAGAACAAGAGGCAGAGATGAGGCTGTCTTACAGAGGTGGGTCACAGGACAATAGCTTACTCACTGCCTGCGACTCCCAGGAAGCTTCCAAGAATCCACAAAAGTGAGAAAAAGTACTTTGAAAAGATAAAAATGGATTAGCAACAAACATGAGGGGTGATAGAAAGGAGTGAGGCCAAAAGCAGACCTGAAATCCCATTTCCAAAACTGAGGCAACTGTGCCGGTGGCTTCCCGGAGAGGAATCTCTCCTTACTGCGCCCCATCCCTTTCATCAAGCAAGCCGGTCCTGCAGGAAAGCCTGAGGCAAGGGCTTTTGAGCCATTCATCCTCCATCCCAGAGAAGGAGGATTATAAATGTCAGGGTGGATTTTGCCTTTGTGACCTGATCATTCAACGCCTCTCTCCTCCTCCATTCTACTGATGGGGAGACTGAGGCCCAGAGAATGAATCTAAAACATGGCACAAGTTGCATCGTGGAACCAGGAGCGGAGCTCAGGTCTTCTGACATCCAGCTCACTGGATTTCTACTATGCAATGACAGCAGGATGGATAATAAGCACCAAGAAAGAACAAGACAGTTGGTTTCCTCAGGTGTTAAACCCTCAGAAGTGAAATCTATTTTTCACTGAGTGTCTACTCGAATTCTCAGTGTGTGAAGGCTTTACCTCTCTTATTTGGGGTAAAAAGAAAGTGTGCTTGGTGGGAGTCAGGAGACCTCAGCTGGAGCTCAGACTCCCCACCCGTCCTTTGTGGCAGCTTCAGTTCATGCCAGTCATCCTTTCGGACCTGTGACATTTGACATCATACAAAGTTTCAGACAAATCCTTTGGAAGTCTTTTCTGTCCAACAGGATTGACAGCAGGGCCTGAATTCCACTTTTATCCGTTTAAAGCACATATTTGTTAAGCTGTCATGGGGAGTGTGTGTCTCAGCTGCTCTCAGATACAGTCAGATACCAGTCTCTGCCCTCCAGGAAGTCAGAGCCTAGAGAGGGATGACAGCAGGCACATGAGGCTCCCTTCCCTGGGAGGCTTTGAGTTCTCTGAGCAGGAATATGAGTGACTCTGGGACATGAAGTAGCTAGCTTCTCAATTATTTCCTGAGAGCAGGCTTTTCTTATAAGGAATGGGGAAAAAATCAGGAGAGGCAAAGTGTCAGCTAGAATGGTAGGAATTCCACTGGGACCCAAAAGTGAAGGTGATCTGGGGAGACGGTTTGTGCCTTTTCTGCAATCCCTAGAACCACACCACAGGGACAATCTGTGGCCCAATTAAGACAAGGATTTTAATTCTGTCCTCAGAAGTCCATAGTCAGGTAAACGGACCCACTGCCACCTGGTCTGGTCCTTCCTCCAACATTGTCTGTCACTTGGCTCCAACCAGGAGTTAGAGGCAATGCTGGTTGAGTCTACCATTCTGCCAATGGGGCAGTCTTCCTTACTCTCCATCGTGTGGCCAGGTTCAAGGACCTCTCTTCTGTCCTCATCGTAATTAGTCTATCTGCAGCATGGACCCAGCTGACTGCCTTCTTTCCTGAAACAGGGCAGTCTTCCTTACTCTCCATCGTGTGGCCAGGTACAAAGACCGCTCTTCTGTCCTCATCGTAATTAGTCTATCTACAGCAGGGACCCGGCTGACTGTGCCTTCTTTCCTGAAACAGGGCAGTCTTCCTTACTCTCCATCGTGTGGCCAGGTTCAAAGACCACTCTTCTGTCCTCATCGTAATTAGTCTATCTGCAGCAGGGACCCGGCTGACTGTGCCTTCTTTCCTGAAACAGTCCTCACTTTCCTCCTCCTTCAGAGACCTCCCCTTATTGGATCTTTGTTGTGTTCCCCGTTGATGAGCCTCTGCGTGGTGGAGGTGCCGCAGACTTGCTCATGGGCCCTCTCGTCTTCCCCATCTACACTTTCTGCCTGTGTGATACCCATTCCCATGACTGCAAAGGCCAAATAGATGCTGACAATTCCCGAATTTGAACCTCAGGCCTCAGTTTGCCTTTGAGCGCCAAATTTATCAATGTGTCTTCTGATTCCATAGCTTCCTTCCGCTAACCAGTAGGCATCACACACTTAACATGTCCAAAATGAACGCCTGATTTCCCCCAAAATACAAACACATGAACACACACACACACCTTTTGCTCAAGCCAAAACCAAATTGTCATCCCTGATTTATCTCCGCCAAAAGATAATCCATCAACCTCACTTGGCAGCCTCTCTCCAAAATATATCCCATAATTAGCTCTATACCTCCCTGCAAACAACTGCAGCCGCATAACAAGAGAGACGGCGGTTATGGATCTCATCCCACTAATCACATCTGCCACCACTGTGACACTAGAGGCGTTCGGTTCTCTTTTCTAGTTGCATAACAAAAATTTCCAGGGATGGATTCCAGTAGGTTCAGTTCAGGTTCCCACACTTGCACCAATCCAGTTCCCACTACAACTACTTGGTAGGTGTATGCAAAGGATAGTTTCAAAAGGAGGGCAGGGCAGGTCCCAGGAAACAGGCACTTCTGGGCAGATAAATCCCAACAGGTGTCCACCTCCCTCTGTTAGTGCCGCGACCACCATGTATTCTAGGTCATGTGCTAGCCTATCTGTGCCCGCTATCTCACCATATGATGAGTGCTTCCAATCAGGGGCCAAGGCTTACAACTCACTACCTAGTGCTGTGCCCGGAATAAAGAAGTATGTACTTAACAAAAAGGCAGATGAATGAACGACAAAGCTAGCAAGTAGAGTGAAGACACTGCTGGTAAGAAAGCTCACCCAGGGCTAGAAAGATTGGGAAATGATTTTTGGAGGTTATAAGAATGAACACAGGTGCTGAAGAATCAGCAGATGTTAGAATTGCAGATGAGAAAGAAGGCGTGATCCCGGACAGAGGGGACTGCCTTAGAAAAAAACAAAGGAATAAGCACACACGTGATGTGTTATGTATATGGTAAGCAGCCCAACTTGACTGAAGCAAGGTGTGTGGGTCGGCAATGTACTGGAGGCAGGGCTGGCTTCATGAGCGTGTGTGTAACCCATGCAGATGCTCAGGGCCCTGTGCTCAGAAGGAGGCCCTGAGAGCGGGATTGAATGCATATTGTCACCATCTTGGAATCTTGATAATTGTGTGTTTGAATCTCTGATTAGTGGAACCCAGTGGAACAGTGATGCATGCACCAGGGACGATCAATGCCTTTGCATAACCTCCCAGATTCTCTAGGATGGGCTCTTGGCCAGCTGCTTCCCTGCTCCTACCCAGTAACTGCTGCTCCCTCCATCTTGGTAGGGAAGGGGACTGGGAAGGGGTTCATGGAGGGTTGAGGTCCAGAACTGAGTTGCAGAGTGGAACCAAGTTTCTTCATGGGGTATCCATGACTCTAAGACTTAGGGTGGGTCCCTAGCTCCCTGTGAGGGTCTATTCTCACCCTGTCAGTATCCTTGTGATCTCTCAGGGATGCATGACATGAAATAGCAAATAAAGACCCACCATGGCAGTTTAAGAGACTACGAAACAAAGAAAAAGCGATTTTTCTGCTGTTTGAGCAATGGGCCCCACATTTTCACCTTGCACTGGGCCCCACAAAGGATGTAGCCAGCCCTGAGTAGAACTGAGGCTGGACAGGTGGGTTGGAGACAGGCTGTCAATGGCTTTGACTGCTATCAGGCTCAGCCTTTACTTTGCAGACCAAGACTGACACACTTTTCTATGAAGAACCAGGTGGTAATCACTTTAGTCTTTGCAGGTCACACGGTCTCTGTTGCAATGATTCAACTCTGCTCTTACAGTGCAAAACCTCTCAGAGACCATATGTAAACCAGAGGGAGAAGCTGTGTTCTAATAAAACTTTATTTAAAGACAGACAGTGGGCCAGATTTGGCCTGAGGTGGCCATAGTTTGCCATCTCCTGCTATAGACAAAACGGAGTCATTGAAGGCAACAGAGCAGCAGAAAGATGCAATTAGAGAAGATTTTCTAGAAGGTTAACTTGGCCTTACTGCCCAGGGTGGGTGAGGGTCAGTCTAGAGGCAGAGGATTTTAGGAAGGAGAATACTGTGAATCTCCAAGCTCGAGGAGCCAGGGGCCAAGGTTTGGGAGCAGCAGTGGGGTGGAAGGGTAGAACGAGGTAATACAAAAACCTTGCATAGGTGCTGACACCAAGGCCACTGACCCGACTTGGACCCTCTCCCATGCAGAAGGGAGGAAGAGCAAGCGGAGGGTTCGTACCACCTTCACCACCGAGCAGCTGCATGAGCTGGAGAAGATCTTCCACTTTACCCACTATCCAGATGTGCACACCCGCAGTCAGCTGGCAGCCAGGATCAACCTCCCAGAAGCTCGGGTGCAGGTACAGCCACCCCTGCCTCAGGCCCCAGCCTCCATGCCCTTGGGACCATGTGTGAGACACTATATATCCCGGGTCCTTCGGGGTTGCCCCATCTGAAAGTTTCCATTGGCTTTATCCTGTGAGTACAGTCATTTTGGCCAAATATTATTTTCTGTGAAATGAGGTCACCATACTTCCAAAATGGTTTCTCTCCTCTGGGAATGGAAAGGGAGTGTGGCATCAGTGATCACCGTGAACGTCTGCTCCATACCCTTCCTCCCCACTTGGCAACAGTTCCAAAACATCATTCACCATGCAGCCTAATTTACGAAATAGGTCTTGACCGCCTAGACCAGGGGTCAACAACCTTTCTGCAAAGAGTCAGATGGTAATGGCATTAGGCTTTGCCAGGTCTATTGTCAGTGTCAGAACAACGGTTCATGCAGACCAAGGCAGCACAAAAGCAGCCTCAGAAAATATGCAAACAGACTTTATTTATGAACATGAAATTTGAATGTTGTGTGATTTGCCTGTGTCATAAAATATTACCCTTCTTTTACTTTTTTCTAGCCAGTTAAAAATGTGAAAACTATTCTTAGTTCAGGAGCCATTCGAAAGCAGGTGGAAGGCCAGATTTAGCCTGTAGCCGGCAGTTTGCCAAGCCCTGATATCTAGAAGGCATGGGGATCCCTTTGCAGGCAGTGTAGAGAAGTGGACAAGGTCTTGAATTCATGGTCTTTGTCGGAGACCTGGTTTAAGCACCGACAGGCTAATCTCTCAACTGTAATCTCTTCACCCCAGGTGTTTTTTGCTTCATGTGGGATTAGAAATACAGTAGCCCTTTGTCACTCACCAGAGGTATTTCCTGCCCTCTTCCCACATGCCCAGCTTTGCAAGTGCCATTCTAGCACACGATGGTCCACCAGATCTGACTGTGGCACCATCAGCATTCTGTCTAAAACAGTTTTCTGAGTCGCTCTCCTTTTCTCTTTCAACAAAAGAGATAAACTCATTCTAATTCAAAATCAGGACGACATTCCATTCTTTGTTCTATCCTTTCCTTCTGGCTGAGGACCCCTCCTGTCTTAGACTTCCCTCCTTTTCTTTCCCACCTAGAATCAGACACTAGCTAAATGGGAGGCCGCTGTGTCAGCCACAAAGCCCAGAATTCAACACCTGCCTATGCAGAATTACCGAGGATAAATGGCCACAAGTTGGGGACCATCAGCACCTGCTCAGGAATGCAGGGAGCTGCCAATGTTCAGCCTGCCAAGGGGCCCCAGGGGTTGAAAACAGGTGGCCCACTGGTGACCCACACATGACTTTTACTTGGTCTGCACAGTATTGTAAAACGCAGAAGCTTTCACATATAAATCAAGATTCCACTTTGGAGACGGCATGAAACTGCAATGCCAGACTCACATTTCCACGTGGTGACTGTTGGCAAGAGCTGAGAAGCTGCCAGCTTTCGGCTCTGTTCACCACAGACCCCACCACTCCTAATCGTGCAGCACCAGAGGCTTTACTCACGCATGGCCCCCCAGCCCTGAAGGCATTGAAGGTAGAAACCTTAGTTCCCTCTCAGAAAGCTGACCTCCAGATCCAAAGACATCCTGGATGCCACAGAGGCTTTACAAACTTTTCAAGTGCTGTCCCTCCTAAGGTGCAGTTATGAATTTCGAGGAGGTGGTATTAGATGGAGGAAAACTCTTGCTTATCCCCATCCTCTCTCCCTAATTACAGATCTGGTTCCAGAATCAGCGAGCCAAGTGGCGGAAGCAGGAGAAGACTGGCAGCCTGGGGGCCCCACAGAAGCTGAGTGAAGACAGCATGGCCCTGCCCACAAATCTGGATGTGGCTGTAAGTAGCTGAGGTCTCAAGGTGGGGTGGAGGGAGCCATCGTCTGGGAGTATCCCAGTCAGATCTAGATGTGAAGAAACACCTTGGGGGCTCTGTCTACAGGAAAAAATGCAAGGAAAATTCTTTTAGAAACAGCACAGGGCAAGGAGAAATCTGGAAGACAGTGGGGCCTGCGATAAGTGTCTGCCTCTCCCCCCATGTCCTCCTCCCTCAGTGATGATCTTGATGCGTGTCCTTCCCGTGCAAAAATTCTCAGTTTATAAAACAGGGACACAGAGGGAAGTGCAGTACACAGACGTTGGACACACGGGCTCTGGAGTCAGACTGCCTGAGTTCTAATCCCAGCTCTCCACTGCCTGAGGTATGATTCGGAAGAGTCACCTTATCCTTCAGAGAATGCAATAAAGTTTTTTGATGAGGATGAAGTGACTGAGACACAGAGGATGCTCAGCACCTAGGAAGTGCTCCCTAAGTATTTAGAGAGCCATCCATGGAGACAACACATATTTTTGAGTGTGTACCAGGTGCCAAACACTGGGGATAGAGCAGTAAACAAAATAGACAACTCTTCCCTGCCCTAGAGTTAAAGGTATTTACACACCCACGATGATGCCGTGAGATGGGATTTTTCTTTTATTCATTCTTTGCATATGCAGAAGCTGGGCCCTGAGAAGCAAAATGACATTTCCCTGTCGAACACTGTTAAGTACCAGGATTTTTTAATCCCCACAACAAGCACTTCTCCCCACCTATGGTAACCAACCATCCAGGTTTGCATGGGTCCATACACGACTTTCAGAGTTAAACCCAGAAAGTCCTGAGAAAACTAGAACAAGTTGATCGTATTACCCACCCTGAGCTGCTCAGGCCATGGAGGGAAAGGCTGAAAAGCTGCAGAGAAAGCTTAGGACTCACTTCTGTCTTCTGACCTCTCCTTATGACAGGGACCCATGTGGACATCCACCACTCTGCACAGGCTGGCTCCTCCCATGGGGTGTTGTCCATCTGCTCAAGGTCAGCTGGCCTCTGCCTGGATCCCTGCCTGGATCACCTTCCTCCCATGGCACCCATGGGTAACGCAGCCTGTCCCAGGTCCTCCCACCCATCAAACTTGCGTCCCTACCCTGTGTTCTTCCACCTCCACACCCTAAAAGGGGCAGCTTCTGTGCTACCTCAACATAGAGATTGGACATCCTCTCCCCAAATGAGCCACTCTCCTCTCCAGGTGAAGGCAGGTAGCAGATGTGCCCTGGGCCTCTGGGGGAATCGATCTTATAATCCAAACATGGCCCACAGCCCAGGAAGCTACCCTGAACATGCCAGTTGGAAGGTGGTACCAGACTCAACAGAAAAGTCTATGATAAAGGACAGCTCTCGTCTCTCCTGGCCAAAGCTGCTTTCCTGGTTCAGAAGATGGGCTGGATGAGATCTCAGGCCGAGCTCTGAAACGGGGAGGTAATCCTCTAGCACCTGTGCTTCCTCTAGTCACTCACCCTCGCTGGACCTCATCTGTTAGAGGAGGCAGCTGGATAAAATGATTTTTGAAGACCTTTCCATGGTGGGCATTGAGACACAGAAGAGGCCAAGGAGAGACTGTTTGTTCATGTATGCACTCATCCATGATGAGTACCTACTGGGGATGCCATAAACAGAACTGGATATAGAAATAAACAACTCGGGTCCTGTCCTCGTTCGTCAAAGTGTAGTGCTGGCCCGCTCCTGCAAGAACACTTGCTCAGCAACCTTGCTGTTGGCCCATGTCTAACATGTTCTTTATGATTGTGAGCATCTCAGAGTGAGAGGAAAATGTAGAAAGTTTTTAAAATGCTAAACAGGATTTAGTGTCTTTAGTTATCCTGCTGGATTGGGAAGAGATGTTGTCGTTTCTGGCACGAATGAAAAGTAGGACGGTAAGCTCTTTTCATTTGGTTTATCTTTCCAGGGTATGTGCAAGGGGACCAGATGGAAGACCAGCCTCACTCTGTCCCAGAAAGGCCGAGCTTTCAGTCAACTCCCTGTTTCCATGCAAAGACCCTGGGCAAACCACATGCTCTGTTTGAGCCTCAGTCTTCCTATCTGTAAAATGAAGGTAGTAATTCCCACTGGTCGTCTGCCTCAAAGAGCATTCAGGACGCTGAGAGGACACAGGAGTACTTTGCAAAGTGAGGGTGAGGCCTCAAGTGGAGTAATGTTGTTATTTCAAGATTCCACTGCCAAGGTGGCTGCTTTGGATCCCAACCCAGGATGAGTAGCTTCTGCTCTCAGGGAGGTCATCGCTGAGCTGCCCTTCTGCACAGGTGCCTCTGATTCTTGTCTTTGCAGGTAGAGGACTGGGCCTGCTCTCCTAAGCCTGAAAGCCTGGAATGACCCCTTGCACAAGCCTAAAGTAAACTCAAGGAATCTTCCCCAAATCCCAGATCTTCTGCAATCTACCTGTGCCCCTGACCCACCCAGGAGTTGGACCAGGAGTTGGCATCCCTACATCTTAGTCCTGCACTCCTAATATGCTAGGTAACCTTACCGTTAATCTCTCTGGGCGTCAGTTTTCTCGTTGGAGGTAGCTATGCTAGCTCTGCCTGCAGGCATGCACAATGCCAGAACAACAGACAACAGCTCACAAGATGCAAAAGTGCTTTGCCATCTCAAAAGTGCCGGATCACGCAAAGTGTATGAATGTGGATACGGACACCCAGTCTCCAGCACCGCTGGATGAAAGGAGAAGGCTAGAGGCTGAGGGAGGAAAACCAGTTAACAAACAAAGGCAGTCGCTCATCACTTGGGTAGCAGGTACCCATTTTAGGACCCTAAACTCAAATGTGCAAAATAAAATTTCTATCATTTTGCGATAACTGGATTTACTTTCTGTGTTATCTGCAGGAAATATGCGCTGGTAACTTCTAGGTTACTGATGCCTCAGGCACTTCAGATTTAAAGGCAGTCACTTGAGATCGTTGCCTTCTGCTCCCCTTCTTTCCACAGGGGTCTTTGCTAGGCTGAGGGGAAGGGTTAGAGAACTGTTTTGCACATGCCACCTCCAGCCTACCAGAGGGGATGTTTGCTTCCCAGCTTTCTCAGTCTCCTACTGGTGTCTTACCTAGCCTGGTCTTGGGCATGACTCCTCTGCCCTAGAGATGCATCACCCCATTCAACTCCCTATTGGAGGCTCACTCCACATCCTCTGCTGCAGCCTCTCACCACCATTGTGAATCCTCCCTGGCTTCCTCTCTCTCTCATGAGCAAGAGGAAAAGCTAACAGCTCTCCCACACCCTAGACATCCCACAGCCATTCCTCATGCCCTGGTGATAGGAAGGTCACAGATGAGACGTGCAGCTCTCCAAACTATAAGAGGAATGGAAAAGAAGCAGGTTCCCTCTGCTCTGGAGTCCCACTCCCCTTCTCAGTCACAAACACTTCTTCCCCAGGCTCCTCTTGAAACGGGATTTTCCTAACCCTAAGAGGTGACAGGTGGCCAGATGTCTCAGCTTCACTATTGAGGTAGACATGGATTTTGTGAGGCCATTTCTTTCCCCCTAGGAATTTTCTCCCCAATAACTATTTTTATTCCCTTTACCTTCTGTGTGGGGGACAAATGGATGACTTTAGAGCTCTCGCCAGCTGTGTGACTTTGAGCAAGCGGCGTGTCCCCTCTCTGTGCTTGTGCCTGGGATGACAGCAATTTCTTGCCTCTTAGAGTTTCTGTGATAATTAAATGAGCTAATACATTTTGGCACCTGGTGAGCACTCAAGACATATTAAGGAAAAAGTCATTTTCCCAAATACACCTTCTGCCCCTTCCTACTTCTGAGCTTGAGCATCTATTCTGGTCTCAAGTTCTATTCCAGGAATTCTCAAACCAGGCTCCAGGAAGTCAAGGAGCTCTCAAGAGACTACGCCAAATTGTATGCATCTGTGTGTTTATTTTTTCTAGGGAAAGGGTTCATTGCTTTCATCCATTTTTCAAAGAGCTCTGGGGCTTAAAAATAATAATAATAAAGAATCCCTGTCAGACATATCTGAGTTAGATTTTGACAGCTTCATATTGTAGCGATGAGGACTACCGACTTGAGGGAAGATCAAGGATAACTATTTTAGGAAGGTAACATCGAAAAAACTGCTATGGTTTGAATGTGGCCCCCAGAAAGTGTGTGCTGTAAACCTAATCACCATTGTAACAGTGTTAAGAGGTACAACTTTTAAGAGGCAATTAGGCCATGAGGCTCTGTCCTTATGAATAGATTAATGTTATTACCAGAGTGGGTTCTTTATAAAAGGATGAGTTCAGCCTCTCTCTCTCTTTCCTCCACCCACCCCCAAGCACCTTTTTCCTTCCACCATGGGAGGACAGACCTTGACAGCAAGAAGGCCCTCCGCAGATGCCAATCCCTTGTTCTTAGACTTCCCAGACTCCAGAACCACGAGCCAATAAATTTCTGTTGAATATTTATTACCCTTGTGTGGTATGCTGTAATAGCAGCACAAAGGAACTAAGGCAAATAGAAAATGAACAAATGCCTGAGTTTTATGTAACTCATTAATTAATGAGAGAACTGCTAAGATGTCATAACCAGCTCAAAGGTGAACATGCACACATATTCAAAGAACAGACAAGCACACAGGCAATCAGGAATGCTGAAATGAATTACAAATAAAGAAAAACAAGAGCCAATAGCCATAGGGAAATAATCAATTTCATCTCCACTAAACATGACTCATCTGCATTTCTATGGACAAGAATAATTTGTATTTCTAACCAATTTCTACTCATTTAAGTTGAAAAATAGCTCAAAGATAATAAAGATGCAGATATCCTGAAAGAGTGTCCCAGACAGAATACCCTATAATCTTTATATGTCCCTTTCAAAGTCTTTCACAATTTTTTACCCACATAAAGTTACTATGTCTCTCTGAATCTCATTTTCCTCATCTATTAAAGGGGAATGACAAGACCCACCTCACAAGATTGCTGTGAAGATTATATTAGATGATGTGTGTATAGTTTTGTGCTTATAAAATACTTTATGAGCATTTTATATTCATAAATCTTTATTGCTTTTCAAGCTCCTCTAGAACTCAAGTTTAAAAGCCCATATCTGGAAAGCGTTTTGAACTGCAGTAACTATTTTTTAATATCCATTCACCTATTATAGTTCAATTTCTTAAAAGGCTGACCAAGCAATAGAAAATATTTTTGCTCGGCCAGGCGCAGTGGCTCACACCTGTAATCCCAGCACTTTGGGAGGCCGAGGCAGGTGGATCACAAGGTCAAGAGATCGAGACCATCCTGGTCAACATGATGAAACCCCGCCTCTACTAAAAATACAAAAAATTAGCTGGGCATGGTGGCATGTGCCTGTAATCCCAGCTACTCAGGAGGCTGAGGCAGGAGAATTGCCTGAACTCAGGAGGTGGAGGTTGCGGTGAGCCGAGATCGCACTCCAGCCTGGGTAACAAAAGCGAAACTCAATCTCAAAAAAAAAAAAGAAAGAAAATATTTGTGCTCTTTGGCAAAGAGCAAAAATAAGAGCTTCACAGGAAAAGCATACAAATGGATACTAAACATGAAAAACTTTTAACCTCACTCATAATTTAAAATGTAAGTGATGAAATATATTTTTAAATCTGAGATTGGCAAATACGTAAAACGGTGAGGAATTGATGAAACAGGCACTCTCATATATAAGAAAGTATGAATTAGTAAATCATTTTTGAAGACAACTTGGCATCAACTATTAATATTCTAAATGCAAATCTCTTGACCTAGTAACTGTATTTGCAAGAATGTATCCAATATATACATATGTATATAAATACTGTATATAAGAATGTTCACCAAGGCTTTATAATAGCAAAAACTAGAAAGCAGGTAAATAGGAGGCTGGTTGAGCCTACTGTAATATATTCATCCAGCTGTTAAAAATAAGAGATTGTGGGAGAAATGCCAGATATAGGTGAAGGGGAGGAGGGCAGCAAATCACACTGCCACCTGTGTACCTATGCAAATATCTTGCTTGTTCTTCACATGTATCCCAAAACCTAAAATGCAATTAAAAAATAAAAAATAAATAAGAGATTGTAATGAACCTCATGAGAAATTATCATTAGACACATCATTAAATAGAAATATCAAGTTGCAGAACAGTATTATGCTCTCACTTAAGAAAAAATAATGATATCTTTATATATAAAAACAACCGAGGTGGGCAGATCACGAGGTCAAGAGATCGAGACCATCCTGGTCAATATAGTGAAACCCCGTCTCTACTAAAAATACAAAAAATTAGCTGGGTATGGTGGTGCGTGCCTGTAATCCCAGCTACTCAGGAGGCTGAGGCAGGAGAATTGCCTGAACCCAGGAGGCAGAGGTTGCGGTGAGCCGAGATTGCACCATTGCACTCCAGGGTGGGTAACAAGGGCTAAACTTCCTCTCAAAAAAAAAAAAACAACAACCTTTTGTATAAATGTATGGAGTACAAGTGCCATTTTGCTACATGCATAGATTGTATAGTAATCATCAAGGCTTTTAGAGTATCTATCCTTCAAATAATGTACATTGTACCCATTAAGTAATTTCTCATCATCCATCCCCCACTCACCCCCTCCTCCTTTCAAATCTCCCTTGTCTATCTTTCCACTCGCTATGTCCATGTGTAAATATCTTTTAGTTCCCACTTATGAGTGATAAATGCAATACTTGTCTAACTGTGCCTGACTTACTCCACTTAGATAACGAGCTCTAGTTCCATCCATGTTGCTACGGAAGACGTCATTTTATTCTTTTTGATGCCTGGATAGTATTCCATTGTGTATGAACACTACGTTTTCTTCATCCAGTCTTCCATTGACAGACACTTAGGTTCATTCTATATCTTTGCTACAGCGAATAGTGGTGCAATCAACACGAGTGCAGGTATCTTCTTGATATATTGATTTCTTTTCCTTTGGGTAGATACCAAGTAGTGGGACTGTAGGATTGAATGGTAGCTCTGTGTGGAGTTCTTTGAGAAGTCTCCATGCTTGTACTAATCTACATCCTCTATATGCCAACGGTTTTTGCATAAGTCAGTTTCTGCTCCACAGCAAACTACTCCAAAATGTGGTGGCCTGAAACAGCAGTCACTTCTTTGGTTCATAGTTCTGTGGCTTGACTAGGTTCTTGATCTGGTCTGGGCTGACTCAACTAATCTCAGATGGTCAATCTATGGCCACTGAGTGATCTAGGACAGCCTCACTCACGGGTCTGGCTTGGCAGGCTGTTAGCTGGGGTGACAGAGCGAGTGGGCCACCTGGCTCTCATCAGCTTCTTCATCTAGGAGTCACTAGATTCCAACAGCACAAAAGCAGAAGCTAGGGAAGGCTCCCGAAGCGTAAGGCTCAGAATTCATACATCACTCCTGTTGCGTTCTACTGGTGAGAGCAAGGCACAAAACCAGCTCAGAGTCAAGGCATGGGAAAGCAGATTTCTCCTCTTTGTGGGAAGCGCTGCCAGTGTCATCCTGGGTTAGTATGTTTTCACACTGCTGTAAAGAACTACCCCAAACTGGGTAATTTATAAAGGAAGGACGTTTAATTGCTTCACAGTTCAACATGGCTGGGGAGCCCAGACTCCTTGCCTGAGTTCCCAAGAGACATCGAGGCTCTTCTCTGTGCTCCAGGGTCCCAGTCAGAAACTGGCTCAAATAGCACCGACTGCTTTCTCCCTGAAAGGTGGCGACTAGGACTAGTGAGCGTGGTTTGCCATGAGCCTCAGGGTCTGCAGAGAAAGGTTCCAAATGGAAGTGATTACTAATCTTTCTCTGGGGTCGTGGGTAGCAAAATGGTCCCCTCCGGTCTGAGTCACTCAAGTTAACT